TTTAATCGTCGCAAGATTTCTGGTATAGAAAAGTCGTTTACAGACACACGAACAAAAAAAAAAAAAACACAAAATACCCACATAATTGTCAAAAACAAAAAAAAAAACATTTGTCGTTTCGTTCATAATCTAGTATTATAATGGACTGTTGTTAAGTATAACAACGAAAAATAATGTCACAACAAACGCTTAAACAATAATTATTATTCGTCAAAACAAAAGCGTACACACAGGCATTTCGGCTGTTATGTGTGTATACATATAAATATATATATTTTTTTTTTTTTTAATAAGCGTTGGAATACTGATGAAACGGGGGGGGGGGGTAAAAAACCGTACAACCGCATATTGTTCGAAATAATATCATAACAATATATACCGATAATACAATAACGAGTCAATACATTGTTTGTACCGTACACAAACGCAGTAAACTAAAACAATAGATGTACAGCTTACTCCGTTAACGTTATACGTGTACAGTCACTTGCATACAATTTTAAAATAATAATTGTAACAATATTATTACATTATATATTATTATTATTATTATACGCGTCGCGCCGTATATCACAAAATAACGGCATTTCGCGTAACGCGGGCCGAAACGGGAGGCGTGCTCGGATCGGGTATCTACCCCCCCCCCCCCNCCCCCCCCGAGTAACGTTCGCCGTAAGTACAACGTGGAAATGAGTTTCTTTAGTCTACGAATCTAAAAAAAAAAAAATTCGGGCCAATGAGAAACGATACGTACAGTTAATATACGGTTTGTAACGTTACTATTATTAAGATAAAAAAAAAAAAAAAAAAAAAAAAATACTTGCTGTCTCATCGCGTTCTGGCCGCGGTCTTTTGATAAACTTTCGAACGTCCATTGATCTGTCATTGCCGACGCTGTGCGTGTTCGCATAACTATATAACGTCCCGCTCTGAACCCACAATCATTGTTAATGGCTGTGAACCACTTTTAACCGCTTCTGCATCCGCTAACGTGTACCGCTCGTGTTCTGTTAACATTATCGCGCATGTTCTGCACGTAAATTCTATTGTCGTGTATCGATAACGGACGTGACGGTAAACGCTGTAATGGCGCAGGTGCACCGTTGTGTTACGCATATTATACGGGAATGAGGTATGCAAAACATAACGAGATTATAAAATACTTGATGTGATCAGATCGAAAGTAAAAAAAAAAAAAAAACACAATTTATGGTTTTTTTCGGAAATAGGAGAATTTGAATCATCCCACCTCCCTTACGCACGGGCCTGATATACTGATCACACCGCGGATAGGCCACTATCGCAGGCGCGAAGTCGGGAAGATACCTATACGTATTCGATAAACTGTTGCAATCAAAAAACAATTTCGAGCCGAGCGCGGTTACCGAAACCGGTATGGTTTAAAATCTATAAAATTTATAATAAATACTACCTAACCGAAAACGCGACCCGCGTGGATGTACGTAGTTCTAGGGAAGAACTAACGAAAGGACTGCATTCTGAAGGGGCGTCGACGCGGGGTCGTTGGTATTTTCGGTGCGAAAGTCGAATTATTCCTGTTGATTGCTATTGTTATACTTAACCGACGAATTGCGTTGAACAATAGACGTGGTATACGCCGTTCGCGACACAATGTCGAGTGCGGTACCCTGTGGTACTCATTATAAATACTTACGGAATGCGAAGCAGGATCGGGGACATGTGACGGTTTTGATGGCCGACTTTAACGCCGCGCTTTGCGCACAGTTCGATTTCAACCGATCGGGAACTACGTAATTTAATGCAGTCAATACATATTTGTTTGCGCGTACGGTATTTGCTGCGGCTAATTAAAACGGCGATGGTATAGCTGTGACGGACGCCCGTTACCCGGTCCAAACTACGCGGACGACGGGACCGAAAACCACACGAACCGACCGGGTTTTTTTTACCGACGTCGAATCGGTTTTTTTCGCGCGCCGCCATCGCGTCGGTCGCGTTAACTTTATCGGACGGTCGCCGCGCGGCAGCATTACGATAAAAACATTTTCGACGATTTAAGAAACGAGCGGATTTAAAATGTTACACCGCCGTTATTTTTCGTTACCCTTGTTTTCGGCGGTGGAACCATTACCGACCTGTGATTTTCATACGGTAACCGACGGGTTTTTTAAAAAAAAAAACGTATACGTATCTATGCATATGTATGTATTGAAACATCTATGCATAAATAGAGTGTTAGTTTAAATACATTTTGGTGTTAAAATTTTCGATTTCCGTCGGTTTATTCGATTCCATTTTTAAGTTCGGGTAAAGGCAAAGCACATATAATATTATAGCGGAGTATCGTTTGAGTACTGCTCGACGGCGATGGGTCGTTCGGTTCCGTACGGTTTTTTTTTTTGTTTTTTTTATTAATACCGCACTACATCTCGACATCGCGTATCATAATACGGAAGGAACAGCTCGACTGCGCGTCGTTAAATATCATAGAACGAACAACCGGCAAACGCAGTCGTAATATATTGCCGTGTGTTCGTATACGTACGCGCGTATCTACGTACACGCGCAGACAACCGCATTGCCGGCGGTGGTTGAAACTATAAACTTCAATTCGAATCAATACGGAATAACGTTTGTAATAGCGTCTGAAGTCGAACAAAAAAAAAAAAAAAAAAAAAAAAA